GAAAAGAAAAGAAAAGAAAAGAAAAGAAAAGAAAAGAAAAGAAAAGAAAAGAAAAGAAAAGAAAAGAAAAGAAAAGAAAAGAAAAGAAAAGAAAAGAAAAGAAAAGAAAAGAAAGCTGTAGAAGGAAGCAGCGGCAAACCCCTACTATCTTGTTGCCAAGAAAACTACATGGAATTTAATCAAAAACTGAACTTGATTTAGGGGAGCCTTAACCTGGTAACTCTCAACTTTGCAATAGAGGCGTCACAGATTTTAATGGAAAGGCAGATGACATCTTTTAAAAGAAATGGGTAAAATAATGTTAGTTTAAATAGGCCCAAATAGAACATATTTCTATTTTTATGCTAAAGCCTGTTCAAGAGCTGAATGTAGAATGAAACTGAAAGACCAAACTTTTATTGGTCATGAATATATGTGGACAAGTTAGTTAATCTTATAGTATTTATGAAAGCAATGCAAGTTCAAGATATGTGTTTTTTCTACTACTTCTGAACTCTAACCCAGTGAAAAAAATTGGCAAAATAAATAAATAAATAAATAAAAAACCCCACCCAAACCCCAAAACAAAACTGTCCTAGCTTCCTCTTGTTCCAGCAGCAATGTATACAGTTGCCCTGAACTGTAATTATGAGATCAAAAGCTGCGGCTTGGCTTTTGGTTAATCCTAATGATGCACACAATTGCCAACATCACAAAAGTTCAAGAGGCAGAAACATGAGTATATAAGACTTTCATTACCCAGCCATATTATCTCATTTATAATTTTATAAAGTATCCAGATAATCTACTTTTTCATTTTTCCTTTGTTTTCTCACTACTGTTTTCTCACTATAGAAGATGTGTTATGGGGGGAGGGGATGGAATAGTGACACACTGTACAGCCATCATATGTCCCTAAGCAAATAGTTTTCAATACTATCTTGGTACTTAGTCATACATCTGTTTTTAAGGAATCAGCTCAATGATGAAAGAACTTTTAAAAATACATGTAATGGAACTAATACAGACACTGGTTATGAATTAAACTGAAAACAGCACACAGGGGGAATAAGAATAAACTTTATGTTCATTATAACTTTGTTATACAAGCTATACTACAAATAGTATTGGTCGTTTTGCAAAACGATAATTAGATCTTGGAAAACTGGAATTTGAATAGTGATTTATTAGACAACCAAACAGAAGGTAGATCTTGGTGCCTGCTGTTACAAAACTGTATATAATTCTAATAAGAGAATCAATCTTAGCTGTTGGGGAAAAATCTGTACATAGGATTCTACTACTAAAACATCCAGCTTATGTATAAGAGGACAGAGAAATACATAATTATGAACTCACATATGGAATCACTTAGCACACATCACACATATGGAAGTGCTATTTTTGGTGTCGGCCTTACACCATCTGTAAGTGATATTACTTTTGCCTGAATTGTTTCTTGCCATTGTTTATCCAGTTCTTAATCTAAATCAAAAACAAAACCCTAAATTCAAATCGAAATTAGCTAAGCACAAATGAAAATGACATTAACTATCAACTAACTCCATGTAGGCTTGAAATATATGCAGTTAGTTGATAGTTTATGTTCTATCTATCTATAAGTAGATTTCTTCCCCAGAGTTTTGACAAAATTCTATGGGTTTCTTAATCTCTGAGGGATAAACAGTAACTGATTAAGCAGACAATGGAAAATTTTTCTAAAGTTCTAACCAATAAGATCCTCTGCTTGTGAAGCACATCAGTGCTAAATGATGTATAACTTTATAATTGGTTGTGTTGCGGGTCAAGGAAGAGGAGGATGAAATTCAGTGGCCAACACATCTCTTAGAGTAATAATGTCATTAGCACTTAACCCACTAAACAAGTGAAAAAGGAGGAATATTGCAAGCAACCCCCACTCCTACAGCACATCACAGTGCTGAGGGAGAGTGATCAAGCAATACTGAGTAAAGGTGGATAGAACATGGAGAAGGAATGGCACAGTTCCTGGAAGGAGAAGGTGAAACCAATTAGCTTGATGTGGAATTTCCCAAGGATTGTGTCTGAGAAAGAACACATTAAAGGGAAGTTTGAGTTTGCCACTCAGGACTTGGGAAAATACATTGATGCTTTCTTACAGCATACCAGAGCCTCAAGCTCCTTATACTCTTTTATTTTTCCATCATCATCATATCTCTTTCTCAATAACCTTTGGCTTGCTGTTACAAGGCAGAAGTATCTCTTCCCAGCCTCTTCTCTTGCACGCTCTTACGGAGCACATGCTCCTTATAACTCACATTCTAAGCATGGTCCAGAGGGTGTATGAATACTGCCACGGTAATCATAGAAGGCATGCCAAGAGCCCCAAGTCTCCTATTCCTTACCCGTCATCATGACTATTTATCAGGCGTTGTCTGAAAATAGTACACAGGTTTTCCTATTCTCACAAAAATGATTTTATTGCAAAGTAGGCTTTGGACATATCACAATTGGGTTGGAATAAAATATTTGGCAATTATACTTTTTATGTTCATCTTGTGGTAGCACTGACACCATGCATTATTTCACTTCTGCAAAGGTGCAGATGAAAATGGTTTAAGAAAAAGTCATTTAAATGTTACTGAAGCTATTTAAATGTTATGAAGGTTCTTTAAATAACTTTTTAAAACTGATTTCAATGGGAGGGGTAGTCAGTAGCGGTTTTACATTAGGATACTTTTACTGAAAATGTTACAAGTTAATGACTTCCATCAAATATATTTAGAAATGATACAGGCACTTGCAGGAATGCAGTGGCTCAACTCTAAATATATCCAGGGATAATATGAGTAAGAATTATGTTTGCAGTCAACTTTGCCAAAACAATACTTGGCCAGAAATATTTGACCTGTGGCAGAGGAGGTGCTATGGGCTGAGCAGATATTATAAAAGAGTTTCTGGGACCTGCTTTATCTTTGATCTGCCTGTACTTTGCCTACAGATTCAAGGTAAGTCATGTGAAGAATGAACTTAGAATTGGAGGGAAGATCGCAGGCAGGCCTGGAATTCTACACACCCCAGGGCCATCTTGTCATCTCTGGAACTAATTTCTCTGTGAGATTCAGACCTGTTCTTGAATATGTCTATACATTTCCAATCTGTATAATGCATATTCTTGGAACGTTTGGGATTACAAAGAGAATCATCATTTTTTTTTTAATTTATTTTTTGGGTAGTGTTGGCCTGCCTCGAGGCTGCATATAACTTCTTGCAGAAGGTGAGGTAAGGCATAACAATACTAATTCCCATAATATAGATAATATTATAATTCCCATAATATAAATAAACCTGTATTTGAAAATGTAGTTGATATGTAATGTCTAATACACATTAAATATAAACAAATCATTAAAAATGGAGATTCTAGCCCTGAGAGAATTAAAAGAATGTAAGCAAAACATTTTTAAAGTAAACTTTTAAACATTAAATAATAAATGGATCCCCAAATCTATTCAGAAATTAATTTTTAAAAAAAATAAAAGTGCAATACTACAATACTTTAAGAGAGACAGAACACTGGATTCTATTTCAGAACTTATCAGGAAGGCACAAATCTTGTCCTGGACCTCTATCACACCTAATAAAGATGTATCATTTTGCTGGGTATAACAAAGCATGGTTTCCTGGTAACAATCTTTTGGAAGATGCTTTACTTCCAGATGCACAGCAGGATGCATCACAAGCAAGCTTCTGTACTTTCACTTTCAAATTTCTGATAAGAGAGACTGGAATCGTTCTAATTCCGAGGGATAAAGGGGACAGTATTTAATTTCATAGACATAAACATGCTTGTGAATCTCTCTTTTTCAAAACAGTAGAGTAAAAAATAATGAAATATGCATACTTCAAAAGTAGGACAGCCTGGATGCAGGAGATAGAATTAGTTTTTGTTGCTGATTAAATTCACAGTTCCTTCATTACTTTACTCATCCCCTATTGGAATAATATCCAGTGATCAAATATTTTATATATATATGATAATGTTTTATAGCTGTTCTGTGAGATATGTTGCATATAAATCACAATTTTTTTTCATCCACCGACATACTCAACTTCTTTCTCTGCTTCACTGTTTCAATATATTTTTTTTTTAAATACCTGCTGAATTCTCAGTAGAGCCCTGTTTTGTTACCTATACTTAACTAAAGCCATTGCTTATAGAATACAGTAGGGAAATAGGGTGCTATTATGCCCTGTGCTGAATTATATTTCCTTCCAGGGTTGATGTTCAGCTCTACCAACTGGCATATAGAATATAAAATTGAGTGGGACATAAAGGCAAAATAACAGACATTAGAATGTCACTTTTGTGAACGGAACAGATGTTCATGTTTCACTGGGAAATGGCAACTAATACTAATATATCCCAAGGAAAAAAGCAATATTTATCCCATAAGAGATGGATACAAGCTCTGTATCTTCTCTATCACTATCTTTATCTCTATTCTCTAGCCTAAGCTCATACATCTTTTGTCTATTCATTCACGGTTTATATTTCTAACTTTTACTCTTGGACACCTTGAGTAAAAAGTTGATGGTAATGATGATGACAGGGGAAGGATTCAAACCATATTCTGGTTTATTAATGTCTGCAAGTTCCTAACTGAACTGAAGTGGCACATTTTAAGAGAGGATTACTAGATATATATACAAGGGTGTGATGTGCCTATATTTATTTACTGACATTTATTTATTATCTGTTACACATTTTAAAAATATTAAACCAACTTAACTCTTGGGTGAATTTCTCTCCCTCCAGAAAAGGAAAGATAGGTTCCTTCTGGCAGAGGATGTGGCTTCCATCAAACCTAGAAGAGTCTTGTACTCATAAGCAGTTGCTAAGTGCACATGATGGAAGGTTGCAAAACAAAACAAAACACTAAATTAGCCTTTCAGAAAAGCTTGTGTTGTATCTATAACCCGATGGAACATTTTTCTCTCCATAGTGTTCACTGCTGAGGTGCCTCTTATAAACTGTAGCCATGTCGTCTGATGCTGAGATGGCAGTTTTCGGGCCAGCTGCTTCCTTTCTTCGAAAGTCAGAAAAGGAAAGAATTGAGTCCCAGAATAAGCCCTTTGATGCCAAGACCTCAGTTTATGTGGTGGATGCTAAGGAATCCTATGTGAAAGCCATTGTACAAAGTAGAGAAGGAGGGAAAGCCACAGTCAAGACTGAAAAAGGAGAAGTGAGTAAAAGACACGAAACTTATTGTCAAAAGTTATCCTCTATAAGATGATGTCAGCTTGTCCACTTTTTTTCCTTCCCTAGAGTGTGACTGTTAAGGATGACCAAGTCTTTCCTATGAACCCTCCCAAATACGACAAAATTGAGGACATGGCCATGATGACCCACCTCAATGAACCTGCTGTCCTGTATAACCTCAAAGAGCGTTATGCAGCCTGGATGATCTATGTGAGTGCAGGCATGGTTTCTGTTTGCTGCCTTCTGCTAATGCAATATTGTGGGTTTAAATAATAAATGTACAATCTCTTAAGACTCATCAGGTTCATGTAAAATCTGAACAAATACCCAATAGAGATTTTAATGATAACAGAGTCAATTGATGACTGCATGTTTTACATGGTCTCTAGAAATGGACACTTCCAGGATAACTATCATAGATTAAGAGGAGAATAAACTGCTCAAAGTAAAGTTCATGGAGTCCAGTGTCCAGATTTGATAGCATCCTCCAACAAACAGCCTGTTGAAGCATCATTCAGACTCTGATTTTTCATTGTCAGAATAGTCTATAAATCAGTTTGGTGATCACATATTTCTGCACACAATTAACATTCATATAGCTAAGAGGTGGGCTATTCTATGCATATAAGTGATGCTGGGGGAGGGGAGTAGACCTCTATGCATGAGCTCTATGGGTTGATACAGCAGTTTCTGTACAATACTATGTACTGTGCACATACTTTCTACAATAAGCCTTTAGTAAGTATGGAACATATGATTTTGTTCCCTTCATGCTACACTGAAAATATCTATCATGCTATGGATAAAAGAAATACAGTAGATGGGCACAGGATGACTGAGAACTTAGTGTGGCAAATTTGCCCTTTTTAGTTTACCACTCCTGCTCCCCAGTCTTCCTTTGTTCCCCACCAACTTTCCTCATTTTTTTCCTCCACAACCCTAAAACGTCTTTAAATGACCTTTAATTATCTCTACATCAGCCTCAAGAATCATGATGTTGAGGAGAAGGATTAGGATATTATAGGAAACTCTTTAATAAGGAATAGGAACATGCTGGGCATGTTATCTTTGGACTTGAATTTTGCTCCTCAGACTCAACACTGTGAAATGAGCAAATCAAAGCCAGACAATAAGACACATTTGTAATGTTATATTATATACAGTATTTTAGAAATGGTACTTTCTTATTTGAGAGAAAATGTATGGGTTTCTAAAGAGGACATACTTCCAATTTTGGACAGTGTTTTAATATTTGGAAGGACTACTTTCTCCCACGGTACTGAAAATTGAAGTGTTGAGTTTTTAATCTTAAACTTAATAGATAAAATATTGGTTCACCAAGTTTCAGTTGGTCTGATTTATTTATGTATTTATTTCCCTTTTCCACTCTTTCCCCCTTCCATAGAAGTCTTTTATACATGATTAGTTTCCTTAGAGTTCAAGGAATATAACAAGCAAATAAACGTGGATACTTGTGTTATACTTTTGCAGACCTACTCAGGTCTCTTCTGCGTCACTGTTAATCCCTACAAGTGGTTACCAGTGTATAATCCAGAAGTGGTGGCTGCCTACAGAGGCAAAAAGCGACAAGAGGCCCCTCCCCACATCTTCTCCATTTCTGACAACGCGTATCAGTTCATGTTAACTGGTGAGTAGATGAGTGTCTCTGAAAAAAAACGAGGCAGGGAAAACAGGAGGAATATGGCTTCTGGAATTCTTTCCAGCCCCTTAAGAATAGTTCAACCACAGACATTTATTGTGATCAAATAAATAACAAAATAAATACTACATACAAAAAACAGACAGACAAATACGGCAATGAAATCACAGTGAGCTCTACAGGCAATAAAACAGTATCAGAATCATGCTGATAAGATGGCAACGGCTCTCAATACAGCCTGGAAAATTGACTAAGAAAAGGTAACAAGATGCATCCACACACCTTTATAAAAGGAGTAATGAACACAGGCAACGCACTGAATGGCAAATGCTTCATAGATATGGGATTTTTAAAATTTCCCCTCAACAGTAGTAATTGAAAGTACCTTAAAATGTGTTTTAAGAATAGCTTTGCTCCATGTCTTGGGTAGGGAGAGAAGGGTACTTAGAATGAAGAAGTCACCAAGTTGCTGAGCTGTTGCCCAATGGCTTGTCCCAAAAGGATTAGTTGAGGCAAGTTTTGCGGATTTTTTTTTCTCCCCTCCATGGCCACAGCCTGATCTGGCCCTTTTTCAAACATGATGTTTCTTCTGTTGGGTTCTCCTGCCACACCAATCAGTTAACCTGCTGATGGACTAAAAGAGATTGAGTCCTGAGCCTTTTTACTTTCTTTCCAAATCTCTTAAGTAGGAAAAATTAATTTTTTCCTACTTATGTCCTTTCTCCTTTAAAACGACCACTGCTCAAAGAGAAATAGATGAAAACTACTTATTTAGGATTTATGACACCTATATGCATACATTGGGAAAAGCGAGTTCAGAAATTTAGAGGATAATGTTCTTCTGCTCACTTATATTTAAAATGATATGTTTTGTTTTAAGAATAGCTTTGCTCCATGTCTTGGGTAGGGAGAGAAGGGTACAAATCAAAAAAATGATTTTTTTGAAATGTGTCATATAATTGTAAAAAGTTACAAGTCACTTTTTTAAAAACTTCTTTTCAGATCGCGAGAATCAGTCCATTTTGATCACGTAAGTATTCTTTCTTAAGTGGTTGACTTTTGTTCTATTGACTGCTCTGGAATAAAATTAGGACCACTAGCTCTCTGTTCTGAAACAAACTGCAGGACTCTTGGGTATCACAGGACGTAACTACATTCAGTTTAAATGCCGTAACAATAATAATTCCTCGACAATACTCAGCAGCTCCAAAGATTCTTCACCAAATTGCACTGGAAACAATTGAAGTTAGTCTGGTATAACAGACAATGAATATGCTTATAGTCTTTAGAATAAGTATGGGAAAATTATTTTAGCTAGAAGGCCAAAGGTGGGTGTACCAGCCGAGGTTTGCACACACTCTTTTGTACTCTTTTACGCACACATGAACACACAAACAAAGGATTGAATCCTGACCTCCATTAGGCTTGAAACTGAGATTCCTCCATCTGTCCTCTCACTTTATGGTGCAACTAGACTTGAAAAAAACATCAAAACAACAGCATGGGACAGTTGAGAGAGTTGCAGAAGAGAATTAATTCATCTGCATGAGTTTTTGCTATGTCTTGCTGAGCCAGAATTAATATAAATTTTGTGGGTAGGCAGAGTATGCGGAATGAAAGCTGCAATTTCCTATAGTTCAATCAGGCTTGGAAAGCCTTTCCAATTTCCCAGGTCTGAGGGCAGATGAGGTCAACCCCCATCCCTACTTCTTAGTAAACTGGAATTGGAATCTCAATGAAATGATTTCTGACACATTAATGGAAGTCTTCTTTGGATCAATAGTGGAGAATCTGGTGCTGGAAAAACTGTGAACACGAAACGTGTCATCCAGTATTTTGCAACCATTGCAGCTGCTACTGACAAGAAAAAGGAAGAACCAGTTCCACAAGGCAAAATACAGGTGTGTTTTATGCAAAAAAAAAAAAAAAAAGTGAATACCTATAATTTCTCTGTGACTGAAAAAAATGAAAACTAATGATATTTTCACTGAAGGGCACCCTTGAAGATCAAATCATCAGTGCCAACCCCTTGCTGGAGGCTTTTGGAAACGCCAAGACTGTGAGAAATGACAACTCTTCACGCTTTGTAAGTCCTGTATAAAGTGTGACCAAGTACTTAACTTTCATTTCTGAAAAGTTGAATGCCATCTATGTTTGCAAGTTAACTCTCTAAAGTACATGCAAATTCCATCTCCCAGGATTTTTAACGTTATGCCTTCTCTTCTTTAAAGGGCAAATTCATCAGAATCCATTTTGGTGCCACTGGCAAACTGGCTTCTGCAGACATTGAGACCTGTAAGGGATCTTTCTTGGTGTGTTTATCTGACTCTTTCTTTCTTCCTTAACTAATTCAACTTCATTGCTTTGCCAGATCTGCTGGAGAAGTCCAGAGTTACTTTCCAGCTCAAGGCTGAAAGGAGCTACCACATCTTTTATCAGATCATGTCCAACAAGAGGCCAGAGCTGATCGGTAAGGAGAAGCATCCGTTTGGAGGACTACTTCAACTATTAAACACTCAACATTGGCTGATGCTTGAAAATGAAGCCATGCTTGTGTTTCTTTTTATGCAGAAATGCTTCTGATTACTACCAACCCATATGACTATCACTATGTGAGTCAGGGTGAGATATCTGTTGCCAGCATTAATGATCAGGAAGAGCTGATGGCAACTGATGTAAGTAATTTGCAGAATTGAGGACATGAAATATTAACTTGATTACATTTCCACTTGTCGTGTACCCTTTTCAATGGAATTATGTTGGGGCAAAACTATTTTTAAATGTCCTAATAAAAAGGAATGTGAAATGTTTCAGTCAGAAAGCTTCAGGGAGTAGCAATAGCAATAGTGGCAAGACTTTCCCTTCTTCCATCTTTCTTCTAAACAAAACTTATTGCTACTGCTTCTGCAAAAAAAGATGAGCATCTATCAGTGTTTTGATATTCCCCCTTTCAGATTGTTCTCTTTTTATAATGATACATCATAGTTTAGCACTGCTCAAAAACATTCTTGGTGGGGAGGTGTGGGAGTGTAAGAAATCATGGGAACCAGCAGAGCCTGCTATCCCTCTTCCTCTCAAATGAAGTTATTTCTTGATGCACTGCTTCAAGAATGGACATTATGGAGTAAAAAATGACAGACCACTAATTACTAAAAGGTTCTCCAACTCCAAATAGGGATTAGCATTGAAGAGCTTGCTTTCCTCCAGCGATCAGGCAGCATTTTGATTATAGATTCAATTGCCAGAGCGCCATTGACATCCTGGGCTTCACTGCTGACGAAAAGACAGCCATTTACAAACTGACGGGAGCCGTCATGCACTACGGGAACATGAAGTTCAAGCAGAAGCAGCGAGAGGAGCAGGCTGAGCCAGACGGCACTGAAGGTATTTGAAAAATCCCTCATACTGCTCAGCTACAGAATGACAAACGTTGCATGCTAAGACCCAGAATATGATACGGAGGATGCAGTATAACATATCAGTTACAGGACTGTGCTGTGTAGTCTGCTAAGATATGGCAGTTTATTATAAGTATTTTCCTTACCAGACTAACAAAGACACAGTGCTTTTTAAAAGATTAGCTTTAGAAGCAAATACACGGGAAAATGAAGATGTATTTTAAGTTGCTATTTTCCTATTTGATAGATATACTTCTTGCAAACTTTGGGAGTGTGGTCATCTCCACTTCATACAAAGCTGACTGAAGTTGTACACATCTGCTTTAGGGTTCTCTCCCCCCCCAATAATATATTATTTTAACAATTCAATTGTTAAAATGCTAATCAAATTGGAAGATAGTGAAAAACAGATAATTATGGATGGCCTATTTGGCATAACTTGGCATAACATATTTGGTGGCTGGCGACATACAGTACGTATCACATATATTATATAATTAAGATGGCGGAGACAGAGGGAGCTGTAGTTGGGCTGTACTCGTGTTTGTTGTGGTGTGTTTGAATATTTTTTTGGTGGCATTTACCTGGATGGATGTGGACTTTTCAACCTGTTTGGGCTGGAGGTTTGGAGGAGTGGGCCAGACCGGACTGGAGCATGCCATGCTGGAAGATGGCCATGTTTGTTGTTTTGTCACTGTTTGCTGTTTTGCGGCATTTTGTGGCATTTTGTGCAGCACTTTTGCAGTGTTTTGCTGGCAACACCTGCTGAATTGTCCTTGTTTGTGGCTTCAGCTTTTTTGAACTTGAACCTGGCAATGGTTGGACCTGGTGGCAGTTTTGGGCTTCTGGGCTGTCTTGGAGGAGAGGGCTGAGAAGCGGGCCGGAGGACAGGCCGTGCTTGTTCTTCTGCTGTGCTGGGTGTTCCGACTGTGTCTGTGGACTTGGCGGTGCCTGCAGACTCAGCTGAGTTTGGAGACAATCCCCTCCTGCACCCCTCATCTTGCTGCTGCTGCTGCTGCTGCTGCTGCTGCTGCTGGATGCTTCTTCCTGTACCATCTGCTTTTTTTGCTGCTGGACCCTGGGGCTTTGGAGGTGTGGCCAGTGGCTGGGCAGGGGGAGGGTGTTACAGTAGAGTAGCAGGCTACTGTGGACCCCCCTCCCCCCTTGGAGACCAATTTTGCTTTTCCTCTGAGTAGCCCTGAGAAAGAAGGAGGAAGAAAGAAAATGAGATGGCTCCATGTGCTGACTGAGTTGCCACTGTGAATGGATAATTGATTCTTCCTCTTGGGTGAGAGCCAGAGGAGGAATTGGTGGTGGCTGAATGGAAGGGATCCTCTATCAGCTGGTGGGAGTAGCAGGAGAGGGTCCCTATGAGTAAACATGTGTGAATGCATTGTAGTGTGTGTGTGGGTATGTGTTATGGTAAGTGGGGAGGTGATAGCTGGGTACCCTGATGGGGCTGAGAGCTAGTGAAGCTAAAGTGCCTCGGGGTGTCCGGCTTCCCCTCCCAGGTATGGTTGGAGAGAACAGTAAGAGGTCCCTGGTCTTAGGTCTTGGGGGCCTGGATTTGGGGATGGAACTGCCCGGGGGGGGGGGCAGAGGGGGGCCATAGTAGTGTGGTGGTGATGGGCATGGGGAGATATGTAGGAGACAGGGAGCAGGCCACTCTCAGGAAATGTGAGACCCAGTCAGCAGATCTTCAGTGGCCCTTTCAGCTGCTGCTTCTAAATGCCAGGTTGGTCTGTAATAAGACCTCCCTCATTAGTGATTTAATCATTGATGAGAGGGCTGACCTGGCATGTATTACCGAGACCTGGATGACTCCGGAAGGGGGGTTAGCCCTTTCAGAGATATGCCCAGCTGGGTTTTGGATGTGGTATCAGCTGAGACTCAGGTGCAGGGGTAGAGGTGTGGCAATTGTCATCTGGGAATCTCTTAAAGCTTTCAGGGGTGCTGCACCACAGGTCACCGAATGTGAGACCCTGTTCATTAAGTTGGGCTCTAGAGACCAGCTGGGATTGTTGCTGGTACAAACCAGCTTCCCTGCTGCATAGCAACCTCCCTGCCTGAGCTCCTTGACTTCATTTCTGGGTTGACAGTGGAGTTCCCCAGACTTATGATTCTGGAGGATTTCAACCTGCCTTCTCTAGGAGTGGGGTCTAAGGTGGCTCAGGAGTTCATGGCCACCAAATCCATGAACTCCTAAATCATCCAGAGCCAGACATGGGACGGTGGTCATACACTGGATCTGGTGTTCCTGTCAGAGCAGTAGCTATGTGATCTGAAATTGGAGGAGCTCTTGGTGTCTCCCTTGTCATGGTCAGATCACATCCTGATTTCCATGGGATTCTCTAGTGCCGCTATTCACTGCAGGGAGTTGGACCCTTAGATTGGTCTATCCCTGGGAACTGACGGACCTGAATGGGTTTCAGAAGGAGTTGGAGGTTGTTCCTGCTGGTCTGCTGCACAGTCCAACCAAAACCTTGGTTGCTGCTTGGAATAAGGGGGCAGCTGAGGCATTGGATCGAATTGCACCCATGTGAACTCTCCCCTCTCTGGGATTCTGTCACTGCCCATGGTTCACAGAGGAGCTGAGGGAGATGAAGCAAGAGAAGAGACATCTAGAGCATTGCTGGCACTCAACAAAGGATGAATTTGACCAAACATGGGTTAGAGCTGCTATTAAGGCCTACCTTGTGGTCGTAAGGGCTGCAAAGCATCAGTACTTCTCTGCCCTTATTGCATCCATGGAGAGCCATCTCACAACCTTGTTTTGGGTGACATGAACCCTCTTGGGTAGAGGGGGCCCGAAGAACCTTTTGCAGGGGTCTGCAGAGGAATTTGCTCAGCATCTGTCAGACAAAGTTGCTTGGATTCGCTCATAGTTGGATGCCGGCCTTGCTGCAGGTCCAGAGGAGATGCCTGGGGTGGAGTCTTGCCTGGTTACCTGGGAACAGTTTGAACCTGTTGGACCTGAGGAAGTGGACAGGTCCTTAGGACTGTGAGCTCAGCCACCTGCTCTTTAAATCCATGCCCCTCCTGGCTTGAGAAAGCAGACTGGGGTGTGTGTGTCATGTGAGAGGATTCTAGTGGTGGTTAATTCTTCGAGTGAGGGGGTTGTACCTTTGCCTCTTAAAGAGGACTTGGTTCTCCCCCTTCTCAAGAAGCCATCACCAGACCCCACTATGCTGGACAATTTTCATCCAGTATCTCACCTCCCTTTTTTGGGGAATGTGGTTGAGAAGATAGTTGCACAACAACTTCAGAGGACCTCGGATGAAGTGGATTATTTGAGACCTTGGTATGGGACAGAAACGGCATTGGTCGCACTTTTGGATGATCTCTGGCATGGGCGGGATGGGGGTTGTGCATCCATCCTTGCTCTACTTGACCTCTCAGTGGCTTTCGATACCATCGACCATGGTATCCTTCTGGATCGGGTCAGAAGATTGGGGTTGGATGGCCCAGTGTTGTGCTGGTTTGCCTCCTTTCTCCGGGGTCGATTCCAGTCAGTGGTGATTGGGAAGGAGAGATCCTGCCCTTGGCCCTTGCTATGTGGAGTGCCACAGGGTTTGGTACTCTCTCCTCTCCTATTTAACATCTACATGAAGCCACTGGGTGTGCTTATCTGTTGCCATGGGGTGAGATATCATATCTCTACCCCTGGTGAATTAAGCGATTCCATGAATGTCTTACCTCTATGCCTGGAGGCTGTGAGGGTCTGGATAGGGAACAACAGGCTTTAGCTGAACCCTGGCAAGATTGACTGGCTTTGGATTTGGGGGCCTACCAGTTCTAGGACTATGCCATCTTTGGTGCTGAATGTAGTTGCAGTGCCCCAGACAGACCTGGTGCACAATCTGGGGGTCCTCCTAGACTTATGACTCCTGCTTGAAGAGCAGGTGGCAGCTGTGGCTAGGAGAGCCTTTGCACAGCTTCATGTTGTGTGCCAGTTGCACCCATTCCTGGATTGGGGGGCTCTGCTCTCAGTCACTCATGCCTTACTCACCTCCAGATTGGACTACTGTAATGCACTCTACATGGGTCTGCCCTTGAAGAGTATCTAGAAGCTTCAACTGGTACAGAACGCAGTGGCGTGGGCAGTTACATGTGCTCCCAGAACAGCACATGTCACATCTCTGCTCCACAAGCTGAACTAGTGACGTTCTAAAATGGCTCCACCATTGTGGTTAATATTCACTCTCTCCTGTGCCTTGTAGTTATATTTCAATTTTAATAATGAGTGTTTTATATTTTTATAATGATTCTTTTTATATATTTATTGTTTTATTTGATTGTTGTGTGCTGCCCAGAGTCACTTCTTATGAGATGGATGGCCATATAAATTTGATAGATAGATAGATAGATAGATAGATAGATAGATAGATAGATAGATAGATAGATAGATAGATAGTTGATAGATAGAATCTGTTTGAAGACAAGATTGTTTTGATCTTCTAG